TTTTAACATTAATCAATGGAGTTGATTAATGATAAGCTATTAACCTATTTCTGGTAAAGCACTGCTAATCTTATCATAGTCCCAAGCTCAGATTTTAAATTTCCTTTGGTTGTTTTCTAAATATAAACTCAAAAGTGCTTCTTCTTCTTTTTTTTGGTTTTTGGAGACAGGGTTTCTCTGTATAGCCCTGGCTGTCCTGGAACTTACTCTGTAGACCAGGCTGGCCTCAAACTCAGAAATCTGCCTGCCTCTGCCTCCCAAGTGCTGAGATTAAAGGAGTGTGCCACCACTGCCTGGCTAAAAAGTGCTTATTATGCTAAAAACATCTGTTCAATCTATATAAGCTTTAAAAAAATTCTTGCAAGCTTCAGGGAACTGACTTGAATCATCTTCCAAAGGTCAAATGGACTCCAGAAAAGTATCATCAATCAAGGACCTATTCCCTACCTGCCTAATCTGTCTATTGCCTATTCATGGTAGTGTTGTCTCTCCACCTTTCCTTGGTCTTGAGACTCCCCTCCGCCAAATGTCAGGACCTTGGGCCTGGAAGTTTCAAGATAAAAAATTTCCCCTAAACTTCTTAACTTTACCTTCTTTTTCTAGTCTGCCTATCCCAGGAGATTTCAAATCAACAGGATGCTCCAGGTGTTCCTTCAAAATATGTAGCCATTGTTGGACTACTTGGATTGTAGCTTGTAAGCAACTCTAGTATATATGTTTTATCAGTTTGGTTCTTTTATAGAACCCTGACTAATAAGTATGGGAGGTGGGAAAATAATAGGTCTTTCTTTCATGATCCTGGATACACAGAGAAAATGACAAAGAGACAGGTAAAACTGTTTTGAGAATTTAATGGCAGGGTTGGGGGTAGGAAAATTCTAGCTGCTGCTCTTACCTTCCTTTGGTAAGGAGGCTGCCCATGGGTGGGATGAGGTTGACCATGGAGTATGGAATTGGTTAGGGGACATTTAGAGCCCCCAAAATATTGCTAGGCAACATGAGGTCTCTTCCAGCTGGTGAGGAGGAATGTCAAGTAGCAATGAGGCTAGGGTGGCCATGGGCAGGTCCTCTCACATGAGTGTCCTTGACTACTTCAAGTTTTGAGGAGCTTTCCCATAGCCTCTGGGGAGTGTGGTTTGGTCATTGTTCCTCTGAGGCCCAAAGCTCCTCCCCATTGTTCCTATCTCCTGTCTTAAGGAGTCCAGGGACAGACTGATAGGCGTTCTTTCTGCAGGGGCTGGATGGGAGGTGATTCAGGTCTTGTGGAAAGATGGGTGTCTCAGATAGGGCCAGTGGTGGCCTTGAAACATTACAATAAGTTTTGAATGTCTGGTATTTGAGGAATGTAGCTGGGCTCAGTGGTGGCGGCTGCAGCAGCATAGGACAGAATGGTGGCCCAAGCCCAGGGACTAGAATGTGTAGCTAAGGCCTATGGTCCCAAAGTCCTTCCAATATAGGGTCAGTATAATATAGGGTTAGATGTTGAGAAGAATAGGTACAGAAAGGGTTGCCAGAGGGGGCAGAGTGCAGATGGTCTATGTTTCCAGGGCTCAGAGCTTGTGAGGGTTCACCCACTTGTAGGTACCCTCATACTGGAAGCCCACTCTCTTCATCAGCTCATCTGCCTCTGTAGGTCCGCGGCTGGGAGGTAAAGGGGAGGCATGAGTGACCTTTGTCCCTGGTAATTCCCACTGCTCTGCTTCATTTGGCTAGACTCTCTTAGCTCCCATCCTTCCCTTACCTGCCATATACATAGGGGATGGGCTGGGGCTTCTCTTGATCAATCTTGTGCAGCAGTGGTGTGAAGATACGCCAGGCTTCCTTGAGTTCATCACTGAAGGGATACAGTGTAGGATGGAGTGGAGGCACACAGGGACAGAGGGAGAAGACCATCCCTCTTGCCTGTGTTTGGCTAGGGGTCCCTCACCTACGGACAAAGTGCATCTGGCTTCCACAGAAGACATCCAGGATGAGGCGTTCATAGGCATCAGGGAGCTTCACATTCTGAGGGTTTGAGAAAGGGGGAATGTTGCTGATACTACTGTACTCAGCCACCCAGGGCCTCCCTTAGGGCCTTGCCCAGATGGTCCTCCCTGTTGAACCTTGTATCTGTTGCCATAGGTTAGGTCCAGCTCAGATTCTTCCGGGTTGAAGAACATGCCAGGCTTCTTGGTCATCATCTTGGTGTATACTGCCTCATTGGGCTGCACACGGATGACCAGCTCATTACGCTTGCACTGCTGGTGAAAGATGTCTCCTGCCACATCACGGAACTGCAGTCTCACCTCAGCTTTGCGCTCATTCAGGGCTTTGCCACAGCGCAGGATGAACGGAACCCCTAGAGGGCAGGGAAGACCTCAGGAACTGGCTTTCCTAGTCTTGTGCTGTGCTGTGTGTGTGTGTGTGTGTGTGTGTGTGTGTGTGTGTGTGTGTGTGTGTATGTGTGTGTGTGTGTGTGAGAGAGATCTCCTATGCCTGTGTGTGTGTGTGTGTGTGTGTGTGTGTGAGAGAGAGAGAGAGAGAGAGAGAGAGAGAGAGAGAGAGAGAGAGATCTCCTATGCCTGTGTATATGTGTGAATGTGTACATGTGGAATAAGTAAGGACTAGGGTGGTTTCACACTTGTGGTAGCCCTCCTTCTCCAGCATCCCTTACCACTGAATATCATGTATTTATACCATGACCATAACAAGAAGTGTCTCTTTGAGGGCACATTTTAAGGACCCTGCCTTGCTGGGTCCTTGAAATGTCACCTACCATCCCACCGTTCATTCTCCACATAGAGGACAGCTGCTGCAAAGGTGGCAGTGGTGGACCCATGGGGTACTGTGGGGTCATCTAAATACCCATTGGTAGCTTCTCCTTCTCCATTGGGGTTCCCCACATACTGCCCAAGGACCACGTTGTCAGTTTCCACTTCCGAGATACATTTCAACACTTTGACCTGAGAGAAAACCAATGCAGGTAACAGGGAGGGTGTAGGGGAATGGACATGAGCCCAGTGATTGTCATAGAATTACCTGTTATGGGACATGGCTTCTGGGGACCTGGTGGACATGCCTCCACCTACCTTCTCATCACGGACATCATCTGAATCTGTGGAGGCAGGCTTTTCCATGGCCACCAGACACAACATCTGTAGGAGGTGGTTCTGCATAACATCCCTAGTAGCAGAAGAGGCAGACGCTGTGGTCAAGTGCCACTTCCAGGGTAGGAAAAGGAGATAACTAAGTTCTAGGGGCCCTAGGATTACCAAACAAGGCTTTCTAGTGACAAGCTGGAAAATCTTGCTTCTTTACCACTAGTGTCTTCCCAGTATCCTAAGGCAAGGACATAGACACTAACCCTATTCCCTTTGGGGTTTGGCTGGATGGGAGTTATACCCTTCATGGCTACCCACAACAGCTCACTTGAACACTACCTCTCACAGTGTGAAGATGAGCTGAGTTGGGGTAGGATATGGGTTCTTACCTGATAATCCCAAATTCATCAAAATAGCCCCCACGACCCTCAGTACCAAAGGGCTCTTTAAATGTGAGGATCACACAAGCAATGTTGTCTCGATTCCAGATGGGGCCAAAGATCCTGTTGGCAAATCTGTGGGAGGTATGGAGGAGAGGCTAGCATGAGAGACATTGTGGAAGGGTCTTTGGGATTCCACAGTATAGTGGTTGTATCTGAGCCAAGCTAGAGCTTATACCCTAGCCAGCATTCAGGAGAAATTTGACTTTGGGGCAGAAGGGCAGGTGGGGTTTCTCACATTGCCACCCTTGCCCTGATCCCCTTCCACCCCATCCCCTGTGCACCTCAGCACCATGAGGTTCTGGACCATCTCTTTGCCCAGGTAGTGGTCAATGCGGTAGATCTGGTCCTCACGGAACAGAGAGGAGATGTGGTTCGACAGTTGATTGGAGCTCTGCAGGTCTCTCCCAAAGGGCTTCTCCACTATGATGCGGTTCCAGCCTCTGCTTGGAGTCCCCAATCATGTTATTTCTTAAACCTTTCCCAGGAATAGGCCTATGGCCATGTCGTCCTGACCCTCAACCCAGGGAGCAGGGCTTTCATCCATTGTATTCTCAGGTGACTCAGGGAAGCTCTGTTGGCTACTATTGATCCTTAGCCTGAACAGACAGCATCTTAGAAGCCTCCCTGACAACATGCTGGAGACTGGAACAGTTTTGGGGATTTTCCCACCTTGGTGCTAGGGTAGCATGACTGGCACATTCTTGGGTGGCCTTGTTCCCCACCTCCCCATGCCAGATCCTTAGTAGGTCAGAGAAGTGGCCCAGCAGCCAACAGGAAAGTAGGCAGATGGGATGCCAAGGACACAGCTTCTTTACTAGTTTTACTTTAATTAGGGTGAGATACAGTCTCATGTATCCAAGGTTGGCCAAGAACTTGTTATGTAGTTAAGAATGACCTTAAATTCCTGATTCTCCTGTTTCCACCTCCCAAGAGCTGGGATCACAGGTACTGTGCTATCCATCATGTCTGGCTTCCCTCATTGGTTTTATGTTCTTGAAGTCCTATTATGTTTCTCAGGTTGTCCTGGAACTCCTGGGTTCAAAGGGTACTCCTTCCTCATCCCTTGAGTAGCAGGGACTACAGTCAGCCGGATGCAACTGACTTCTATTGATTTTATTTATTTTTTAAAGTAGCTTTTATTTTCTTTTTGAGACATGATTTTACTATGAAGACTAGACTGACTTCAAATTCAGTATGTAGCCCAGGCTGGCCTTGACAACATAATGATTCTCCTGCCTCCTGAGTACTGGAATTAAAACTCTGTGCCACTACACCCAGCTTAATTTTGTTTTGTTTGAGATAGTCTCACTCTGTATTACAGGTTAGCCTTGAACTCCATGCAATCCTCTTGCTTTTAATCTCCACAGTGCTGGAATTATATATGTGTCACCTTGCCCAGATTTCCATTGATTTTAAAAAACCAGGTTCCTTTCTTTGCCACTCATAACAGAGCACTAAAGTTGTTTTCTAAATTCAGGAGGAAGAGAAAGATGGCTTGTAGTCAGCAGTGCTCTCTTATGAAATAACACTGCCACCTTGTGGGTCTGCTGGGGATTCAGAGAGGAGGGAAAAAAAAACAGTCTCACAGTGAGTATCTGTTCTGTGGAGCAACACTGTCATCTTGTGGTCCTGGTGGGAAATGTTGCAAGGGGCCACTATCTTGTAGTGAGAGCCTTGAAGTTAGAAGCTGCCCAGTGTGTATGGTAATAGCAAAGGTTGTTAGAAAACTCCAGTATTTATAGCCTGATCCTTTTTTTTTTTGGAATGCTAATCCATATGGACAAGAAACTAGGGTCATTTATCTTTTCAGCTTGCCTAGACTGGCTTGACCTGGGGATTGTTTAGAGTAGCAGAAACAAGAGCAAACAGACAGGACTGGAGAAACACAGGACTTACGTCTGACTCATGCAGGTCTCTTGAATGTTCTTGGTGACTGCTTCGTAGACTGTGGGGGGCAAGGCCAGGTAGAATAGACGATTGGCCTGTACCCCCTGGTGCAGGGCATTCATGTGGCTGTTGAGGTGCTTGTAGGAGGCTGGATCATCATACTGGCCAGTTACATAGGAGTTACGGGCAAAGAACTCCTCCAGCTTGGGTCTTTCTTCTGGAGTGGCCTTGGGATACACAGACAAATGTTAACTTCTACTTTTCTCAAGAGTCTACACTTGTTCTGCCCTAAAGGAGTGGAAGATCTTTCTCCTTCTGCACCTGATTCCCCCTACTCTCTCTCAACAATTTCTTATTCTACAGCTAAGGTGGGCTTCCCTTGAGTCCTGTCCTTGCTCTACAAGTATAGGAGTTTACTTCATCATGATAACTTTGTGTACCCACAGGGAGGGGGCTGAGACACACAGCAGGAATACTGTATACAGGTGGGGCAAATTACTGGCACATTTTATGTATCTTTGGGGCCGGCATGCCTAGAGTAGAAACTGGATTTCAGGAAAGTCTAACCTGAGAAAAAAGAATGATGGAGAAGGCTGTCTGTCCAAAATTATCACAGCAAACTATTAGGTGGTAAGAAAAATGCCAACATAGCGCAGTTATGGGGGAAAAGAGGTACTTGGAAGAGTCCTTCCATCTAGCTGTTGGCATGTCCCAGTGTGGCACCAGAGCATAGCAGGATGAGGCCAGAGTGGAGCTGGGAGACAGATATGAGGCTGAAGGGACCTTTTTCCTCTGTCTTTGTTCAGAGGTCAGGGAGAAGGTGGCACTAAATAGACATAGCTTTTGTATGGTTCACAAGGGAAACCAAGGATGTAAGATGTCAGAGCTCGAGTATTCTGGGTGGCCCTACCTTTTAGCAAGTTAAATGAGATGGAAGGGAATTGTTGCTTATGATGGGAATGGGGACATGTCTTCTCAAGGGGTATCTGAAGAGAAGAAGTCTTGCTGTGGGGTAGAAGAAAGGGCAGAACAAGGCTCCAGGATCCAAAGTCACACTTACTTTAAAGAAGGGCTCACTCTGCTTGCGGATGTCATCCACTGTGAGTCGTGAGCGGGCATAGCCCACAATGAAGGTGTCTTCAGGTAAAAGGCCATCCCGGAACAGCCACCTGAGGGTACAATACAGCTTTTATCAGACTGGGTAGGGAAGGCCAAGGCCTGACCCTGGTAGAGAGTATTTTGGGGGATAGTGTAGAGATACTACTTACCAGATGGTGGGATATATCTTCTTCTTGGCCAGGTCACCCTGCAGCAGAAGAAACATGTCAGAAAGAGCTGACATGACCTAGATCATTCCCCACCACTTGTGATCTAAGTCCTCATTTAGGGTTACCACTCAGCTAAAAATATATCTACTATGCCCCCCATATATCTCAAAGGATCTCTGAGACATAAGTCTGTACCAGCCTTATACCAATACAGATGAGCAGATGACTCTGCTGGGTTCAAGATAAACCCTAGACATCAAATTCATTAGAGCTTAAGGATGATAAAGGCAGCACATAAAAGAAAAACAAAACCTGTGAGCTATGGCCTCAGATGTCACATTAGCATAAATGGAGCTAGAAGGCAATGAGATGGTCATTCAATTTAGAAAGTTAGAAAAATGACAGCAGGAAAAGTTTGATGATACAGAGTGAAGTCTTGTCTCAGTAACAAAGATTTGGTGGTAATATACCCTTGCAATATATAGGGAGATACTGTTTCAAAATCCCCTCCTCCAAATCAGAATTAAAAAAAATGAGGTAGCAGTGAAAAAATTCAATGAAAAAATTGGGCTGGAGTAGGCAAGAGTTCTCATTTCCACCCCCACACTACAAAAACAAACAAGGAAACAAACAGAGTAGAAAACTAACAAACGAGAGCTGGAGGGGGGGGGAGGAGAGTTGTGAATTACTATTTTCTTGATATGACATGGCTGTGGCACACATGAAGTCTCAGTAGCTGTAGTTGCCTGCATAAGATCAAGTTGGTCAGCATGGGGTGTGTGTGTGTGTGTGTGTGTGTGTGTGTGTATGTGTGTGTGTGTGTGTGTGTAGTTCACAAGCTCCTACCCCTAGCTAAGGATCTGTTGGAAGCTGCTGGCTGCTGGGGAATATACTCTTTCTTCATAGTCCCTTGGTAGTTGCTCAAGGAGTGGATGATGGTCCCATGCTCATGAGCATGTAGGAAGCAATAATTGCACTTAATGGATTATAAAAAAAAAAGAAAAATTGGGAAGGAGGTCCAGAGGGGTTAAGAGAGAGAATGGAGGGAGGGTGGATATGCTTTAAATGCATTGTATACATGTATGAAATTCTCAAAGAATAAATTAAGAACTAGTAAAAAAAACAAGCCAGGGGGCTGGTGAGATGGCTCACTGGTTAAGAGCACTGACTGCTCTTCTGGAGGTCATGAGTTCAAATCCCAGCAGCCAGATGGTGGCTCACAACCATCCGTTATGAGATCTGATGCCCTCTTATAGGGTGTCTGAAGACAGCTACAATGTACTTACATATAAATAAATAAAAACCTATGGACTAGAGCGAGTGGGGCCAGAGCAGGAGAAGGGAAGGGAAAAAAAAATAATAAAACAAGCCAAAATAAAACCAACTTCCCCAAACATCAAACCAAACAACAAACTTAAATAAATAAAACAAACAAGAAAAGCTGGGCTTTGTGGCACAGGTCGATAATCCCAGTACTTGGGTAGTTGGAGCAGGAAGATCTGGACTTCAAAGTTAGCCTCAGGTACACACCCTATCTCAAACACTACCACCACCAACAAAATCCAAAACAACAACAAAACCCAACCCAACCTAACAACCAAACAAAACCTAACAAGTTAGAATGAGACAGAGAATTTTGTTTTTTTTTTTTTTTTCAAGATAGAGTTTCTTTGTATAGCCCTGGCTGTCTTGGAATTCATCCTGTAGACCAGGCTGAACTTGAACTCACAGATATCCACCCGCTTCTGAGTAACACACAGCCTGGCTGAGATACAGAATTTAAAAAAAAATTACTTTATTTTTTGAGACAGGGCCTTGCCATGTAATCAAGGTTGCTCCCCCTGCCCCCCGACCCCCAATCCCCAAGTCAGGTTTTCTTTGTGTAGCTCTGGTTGTCCTGGAAGTAGCTCTGTAGAGCAGGCTGGCCTCAAACTCAGAGAGATCTGCCTGCCTCTGTCTTCCAGTGCTGGGAGTAAAGGTCCAGTATGTAGTCCTTGCTGTCCTCAAACTACAAACAACCCTTTTTGCTTCAGCCTTCTTTGTAGTGGGATTACAAATGTGTGCCACCATGTTCAGAAGATGGAAAAATGTCTAAAAATAATAATAATCTAATCTAGGATATAAAGGAGGAATGGACCTAAGGGGTGGCAATGATACAAAGACAACTCCCAGCCTGAACAGCATTGCCAATGGCTTCTACCAGAGTCAAGGAAGGAAGAATTCTAGTCTGAAGTAAATTCTGAAGACAGAATAAGAGGGAATACTCTTAACGCCACTTTGAGAACTTTAGTTCTACAACTTGATGACAAAGGCAAATGCAAAACTCTATTGACTGATTGTTTATTGAGTCAGAGTTTCTCTATATAGTCCTGGAACTCATTTGCCAGCTAGGCTGGCTGTACAGATGAATTATAGGTTCAGTGAGGGTTTCTGTCAAGAAAGGTAGAGAGAACAATGGAAAAAAAGATACCTGATGTCAGCTTTGGTATCTATACATATGCATATATATATATATATATATATATA